ATTTAAGACGAATACGATAACTATACTATGTTCGTTGCATGGTCCACTCGACAAGAAAATGAAAGAGATTATTAATTCGTAAGTGTATGTTTAATTCATTTTCTTTGATATTGTAAGTAGTTTAGCATGTAATATATTTAATTCATATTCAATGTACAGTGTTGTGGAGCAAGTGAGTATGATGGGAAATGTTAGAAGAAAGCCCTCATGGATCTCTCCTAAAGTAAGTGGCCCAATTACCTGTTTCTTTCATTTACATTCATGTGTTATTATATTCATGTGTGGTTACATTCATGTGTGGTTACATTCAATTGTAGACGAGAAATAAATCCGAGAAATACGAGTGTGGGTATTATGTCATGAAACACATGTTAAACATTGTCTTTGTCGACATTGTTGATTCATGGAATAAGGTATATATATAATAATATGTTTACATATATTAATATATAAGTTGACATATATTTTAAAAACTTTTTTTATCTTTCTTATGTATATGTTTAATGATGTAACCCCATTCCCCGTTGAGGACTTTGTCAATCTTCGTAAACGTTGGGCGTATATCCATAATATGCTTAAGGGTTCTGCTATTTGATTTATTGAGATGTGCTAATGACTTATTTTATGTATATGATGATGTGAGTATTACTTTCAACTTAAACATATTGTGATTGATGTAAATATTGATTTTGACTTTTGATGCACAATGTTAGCTGTTTTTTATGCTCTTTATGCATTGTTAATAAAAATATGGGTTGTTTTATATTCTCTTATATGGTTATAATAGTTATAGGATAAAAAATGGGAAGAATTTGAGAAAATAATTGTATATTAAAACAGAGGAAGTTTTGACAACAGTTATAAAACCTAATCGTGATTGTATATTAAACAGTGACTAGAATAATATAAATTACAAAGTGTTGATGCTGAGAATCGAACATGGGACCTTTAGTTCTATCACAATGGTTGGGTTAAAGAACCATTATGATATGGCACGCGCTTTCTAGAATACAATAACAGTCTCAGGACCAGAATTGTAAGTAACCCATATACATCCACACACTACATAACAACATCTGGTCCCGCGTGGTTATATATCTTTCACAACCGTTGTTAAATGAGTTTTCCTTAGTAGTGTATGTTGATTGATTTTATCATTATCTTAATTGCATATAGCTTGTTCATATTTGAGTTTCCAATAACTAGGCTCATTTAGACTACTATTTTGATTTAGGCCAAAAACCTTTCGCCTAATATTTTTTTTCAAATAAGTTTTTAAATAACTAGTTTTGAAAGGTAATTTTTAAATGGGGATCTATTCACCTTCCCTCTAGTTAAGTCTTCATAGCCTAACAAACCGTGAGGCATTGATCAAAGAATGCAATAGTTTCAAGGTTAAAATGTAGAGGTTAATTAACACAAGGTCACCAACACTACTACAAAAAGTCCTTGTAATATCGGACGCGAAAAGTGTTTTACCTCAGTTTCAGAAGCGTCATAAATATAGTCGTCATAAAAAGTATACATTTAACACATCAGGTTTTAAAACACCTAGAGGTATTGTAATTGCGCAAGGGTTCGAACCCCACTAGCTACATTTTATTATTTACAATAATAGTGTGTCACGTATCTCGGTTTATCAATAAAACCGAGGGATAAATTATTTGTATTTTTTTTTTTAATTAAACTGGTTACATTGCTTACACAGAAAATTTATAAAATAAGTTGTTTACAAAATACAATATTTACCCGGAATATTAAAACTAGTTACATTGTTTACACAGAATATCAAGATAAAAATTAAATTGTCCATGAAGATCATATGTTAGATCTTCAAATCCTTGATATCCTGGGAAGATTAAATGCTGGGAAACAATATATTTTCTATGACTTTTCCTTGCATTTGTCTCTGATATCAACAAAAAAAGGTTAGATAAAAAAGGGTAAGATAAAAAAAAGGGTTAGATAAATAAATAGTTAAGTACACAAACCTTAAACCCAAATAATTTTCATCTCTTGCAATCAATCATAGAGAACTCTTCATAACAAAGACTCTTGCATATCTTAAAGTGGAGGATAGTTTCAGGTCGTTCATTGTCAATTTTTGATATTCAGAATGTTTTTATAATGGAAGTTAACCTAAGTTTCACGTGGATCACTAATGGTAGTGTCTTGAGTGTTGATAGTCATGAAATAGACAGCAAGTATTTGATTAAGGATGGTGACAAATATCCTCAACTTTAACGGTAAAACATCCCCTCGGTTTTTAGGAACACCGAGGTGCAAGATATTTTTATTTTTTTAAAATTTATATTGTTTACAAAGAATATTAAAATACAATATTACAACAAATTTCCACTTCTGATTTAGGCTTAGTGAAATTAACAAAAGCATATCCTTTGTTCATCCCAATTCTGCAAAATAATAGTAAACCACACACAATCATCAATCATCATTATTTTTAAAGTATGGACAATAACGTTCTAGAGAAGGAATTTGGTAGCATATCTGAATTTGGTAGACAAAAGCATAGGAGAAAGTGATTTCAGCAACAGATCTTTAGTGAAATCCAAATTATATTGCATACTTTTCTATTGCATATCCAAAAAGCACTCTATAACTTATCCAACCTCAGATAAATTATTTTATTTTCTGCACTTGCAATCCATCTCAGATATTCTGGATCAAAAATTTTCATGGCAATGGACAGTGGTAAATATTTTCTCTATCATGTGCGGCTACATATTAGTTAGAATTAGAATAAAATCTATTTAACAAAGATATTTATAATAAAATCTGATAACTTTACCCCTCAGATTTATCATAAAACTGAGGTATAAAATTTTCTGATTATAACTATAATCTCGTTTTTTTAAAACTGAGGTAAAAAGTTTTTTTGTGTGGAATTTACATTGTTTACATTGAATGAATATCTTTACTGATATCCATCATCCGATTAGTTAAGTCCCCTCATTTCATTGTGTAAATTTTTAAAAGAGAAGGGAGCTTCCTTCATTGTCCCCTTGAATCAAGAATGATTTTTCTGCACTTGCAATCTATCAAATGAATAAAAACACAACAATAACACCAACAATAACATCAACACCATTATGTGAGATAGATTTCTAGGGAAGAAAAAACATTTTGTTCTATAAGAACATTGAGGGTTTGGGAGACTAAAAATAAGTAAGGATTAAAGTAAAATCTTTTTGCTTTCATAGTGAAATATGTTTATTTGATCCCTCAGTTGTATCAAAAAACCAAAGGATTAGTTGTTTTAGTATACAATTATAATCAATATAAAACATAAACCGCGGAAGTTTGGACTCGAAGTGCATCCTTATCAATTTTACCCATTGTATATATTAGAAACTGATGTAAATTTTTATTTTTATAATTAAAAAATATAAAATATGGTGTTCTTAGGTTTAATACCTCGTTGTTTTTCTGGATGACGTGAAAGTTCCGTCATGAAATGCGTTATTTATTGTAGTGCAAATCTCAAGAAAGAAGCTTCGGATGTGTTTATCTTAGTTCTTAAGCCATATAACGAGGAAAGTAGAGGATATCCACAATCCCTAAGATCATGTACCACAAGGAAAGCATTAGAAGACTTACGAGTGAGATACCGCCATTCCTTGTGAAAATGTTGAGGTGATGCCCTGGAGTTACAATGCCACAACCCTCGCAAATAAAGAAAAGGAAGAAATGACAAATGAATCTGAAGAAGCTACAGCCTATGAAAAATCCAAGGAAGAAGATTTCAATTATTATCACATCAATTCTGGTGAGCATGATGACCTCAACCTTTGGGTATGGAAAAGTTAGTAAAATATGAATCAAGCATGCTACTTCAAAGTTGATAATCAGGTTGTTTCATCATTTTTGTTTGCAATTCTCCTTGTTTGTTAATATATTGTTTGCTAATAAATATTGTTGATTTTAATAGTAATAGTAATGAATTTAGCATGCATTATTTTGAATCAATCCTTTTGAGTTCACACTTTTTTCCATATTTATCGCAAAATAAAATGTGTCAATATTTCTCCCATTTCACTTGTTTATATCCAAGTGTTTGTTTAAGCAAAGATCGGAGGGAGAATGATGAAAACGAAATACCCAAAATTGTTAATGGTATGCTTTCGCATAAAAATCAGTTGATGATGAAAGACTTTGTTTCACTTTCCAAACACCGGAGATATAAGGAAGATAATACTTCATCAACCCCTTTGAGCCTAGAAGTTTGTGTTTCTTTCTATACAAAAAACCCTTAATCTTAACCTGGGGCAGGGTAATTTTTAACTAATCCGGCTATGCATTCGAATCTCCAGAGAATCGTTCTGAACGCCTAAGAGGTTTAACCACATGTTCTTCTTCATACACGTCAATAAGTATCGAAGTAATCATGAAAAATCAAGAGTACAGTGGTTGTTCCTTAATAACCAATGACATGACAGTCACCAGCCTATTCAAACAAAAGGAACAAATGTCATATACAATGTTCCAAAAAAATGCAAAAAAAATTTCTGCAAAGTCGAAATTAAGAAGGCGACTTAGGCAAAATGAGGGCATCCTGATGGACTGAGAGTTCAAAAGAAACAATCCAGAAAAAAGTTAGCGAAAATGAAAAAGAAAAATAGAATAATAGAAACAAAAATGAAAATAGGTGACCATCATATCAAGAATCAAATGGTCACCAAAATTCTTGAAAATAACGTGTATCTTTAAATTATTAGTTTGTTTGATGTGTTACTTTGGTTTTTTTGACTAAGTGTTATTTTTCAATTAAGAAACCTATAATAGTTAATGGACTGTCGGTTTTGTTGTAGAATTTGCATATGGACGGTGTTTGAGTTGATTTCTCACATCAAATAGGAAAGTTCTTGGCAAGTTAAAGTGATACTATTACAACACAATCCAATATGACCCGGCAAAAGAACTCTATATGTATATATATCGAGATCATAGCTCCACTAAACAAATATCCAAATTTCATTTTCATGGATCATATGGTAAAACCAAGATCCAAATCTAAACGTGCTTTAAGAGGTCCTAAAGTGACCATTAATTTTGTGACTGTTTATGAAATGACAGGAGTAGAAACCAATTCTTTGCATGGCCTTGTAGCCTTTATTTTCTTTGGACTTCTTGGTTTCCTCCAAATTAGATATCCAGATAATCCTACACCATTTCAACTCCATCCAAATACAACCTTAGTATCCATTGCTAGTTTTCTACTATATTGTTTGGCCTTTTGGGTTAAGTTTAAGTTTGATACAAGGGTTGATGCCTTCATGGAAGTGTTCGGTTCGCTTTCATTGGTTTCTTTAGTGGCGATGTTGCTACCAGACAAGTGGGAATTATTTGGATACATTGTCATATACACAATATGGTTCATTTGTCATGTAATTGTCATGGCCATACTTTGGTTTTTTGAGCTACGTCCAAAATTGAAGAGGTTGCGACCACTCTTGCCAAATACTTCAACAGATTTGAGCTAATTACACCTATATTCTAAGAACTTTGATTATTTTTTTGCTTGAAGTTTGTAATAGATGTGTTACTTGTGTAAAAACATGAATTACCAAAGGTAACTCGTTATTGGAAAATGACATGTTTAAATTGATTTATTTAAATTTATCTATTAACCTATGTAATTTTTAAATTATTTAAAAGAGCATGTGAAAACAATTTATGGTTCGATGACATTTATAAGTTGTTTCTAGCTCTTTTTTTTCTCCATAATCTATAGCTTATTTGAAAACAATTTTTTTTGTTGTAGAAAAATTGTATGTATAAATAATTAATATTCATTTGTGATTATTTATGATTTTTGAGTATGCACTTTTCATAATGACAAACCGATTAAAAAGATGTGAAAAATCATAAAAATATAAATATAGAGTCACAAAGTTTAAGAAGTGTCTAATAGATTATAAAAAATAAATAAAATATAATAAAAAAACAATAATCATCATGGGGGATATTTCGTTGATGAGAAATATGTAGGAGGGAAAGTGCCTAACTGAATGTGTGATGGTGATATATGTAGTTACTTTGAGATTTTGGGGGTTGTTAAAGAGATGAAGTTTCTAGGGGTTTTGGAAATGTGGTATGACTTTGCTGGAACACTTAAGGCGATAGAAGATAACTTTGGTACAATAGAAGCATTAAACTGGTCTAAGACTATTGGAAAGGTTAACATATATATTGTACACCCTATTTGTCAACCTGATATTATTGTTTCCCTACCTGAGAATGACTCCAATGAACAACCTAATGCTCAACCTGAGGATGCTATTAATGTTTAACCTGAGGATGATATTTAATTCTCAACTTGAGGATGATATTATTGTCCAACCTGATCCCTAACCTGATGATGTTACAAATGCCCAACCTGACAGTGATGATAGTGCATTAGGGAACATGTTTGATAACTCAGAGGATGAGGTTTTAAATGATGGATTTGATAAAGTGTTGGTGGAAGAAGGGGGTCTTATTACTGGCCAAAGTGATCAACATGTTGATGAAATACTAACAGATGAAACACCTCAAAATAAAAAGTGGAAAGGTGGGAGACCAAATAAAAATAATTCAATAAGCAGACCCAAAAAACACAAGGGAAGACCTAAGAATAAAAGGGTGGATGAAGGAAGTTCAACGTCAATATGTGATGAAGTATCAAGTGATGAAGATGTCCTTGATTTTGGATTTAAGGATAGGACAACTGGTAATAAAATATGTTGAGGTTTGTTAGATTCTGACTATGTAACTGAAGAGGTAGAAAGTGAGGATGACATGAGTAGTGATTATTCAAATGATCGTGGGAAGGTTAAACACCCATCATTTGTCATGCCTAAGAAGTTCAATGACTATAAGTGGGTGTTGGGAAGCTTGTTTTCAACAAGGGAGGAGTTCAAGGAAGCTATTGTGAGTTATGTTGTTCATAATGGTAGGGACTTAAGATTTATAAAGAATGACAAGACTAGGGTTAGAGTGGGCTGCAAGGAAGGGTGTGGATGGGTTGTTTTATGTTCCAAATTTCCTAATAAAGATACACGGCAATTGAGAATACTGAATGAAAATCACACTTGTAATAGAGAGTTCAATGTTAGGATGTTTAACATTAATTAGCTTGGGAAGAAATTATACTCAACTGTTAGAATCAACCATAATGTGAAACTAACTGCTATATGTGAAAAAGTGCATGAGAAATGAAATGATGGTATGAATAGGATGAAATCTTACAGGGGACGGAAGGCATAAATAAATATTGTTGAAGGATCATTTAAGGAGCAATATCATAGATTGTATGACTATACACAGTTATTAAGGTCTAATCCAAACAACACCATTAAGATGAATATCCAAGCAACTGAATCACAACCTGTTGAACTTGAAAAAAAACCTGAGGACTATGTTAGTAGACCATTACTACCAAGTTTTCATAGACTGTACATGTGCCTTGATGCTTGCAAGATAAGTTTTCATGTGTGTAGACCAATAATTGAGGTTTATGAATGTTTTACCAAAGGCGATTATGGAGATCGGATTCTTGCAGCAGTAGGTAGAGACCCCAATGACCAAATGTTACCCATTGCACTAGCTGTAGTTGAACCTGAGACTAAAGACTCTTGGGCATGGTTCTTTGATCTACTAGTTAAAGACTTGGGAGGACAAAAAGTATGCAAACATATTACTTTCATTTCAGATCAACAGAAGGTAACATTCTTTGATTTTAAATTGAAACATATAGGTCATTCGTGATTTTAAATTGTAACATTATTTGTTGATTATCTGATTAGGGCTTGTTACCTGCAATAAAGAAGTTGTTACCTGGAGTTGACCAGAGATTCTGTGTTAGACACTTGTATAGCAACTTCAGAAAAAGGTTTCTAAGCAAACTGTTGAAGGAATTAATGTGGAGGGCAGCCAAGGAAACATATCCCCAAGCATGGGAAACATAAATAAAAAAGTTTAATGAGGAGGAATTCAAATACTTGCTGAAGATTCAACCTAGATTTTGGAGTAAGTATATGTTCAAGTATAGTACAAAAAGTGATGTGTTGGGATCAACAATATGTATGAAACTTTTAATAGTGTTATCATTGGACCAAGACAAAAGTGAATTGTAAAAATGTTAGAGGAGATAAGAGGGTACCTCATGGATAGATGGGAAACTAATAGAGCCAATATTGAAGATTATAGTGACTCTGTACTTCCAAGAATTAAAAAGTGCTTCGAAGAAGGAAAGAAATCTCAAGCTTCTTTATAGCAAGGTAATTCAATAACTAATTTACAATTTATAAATATATTATGAATATTTACACTAACTAAGTGAATTTAATTAGTTATAAAGGTGTTGTACCCCAAAATTTGCCCTCCCATATTTCTTAAAATATGTCAAGAAAGATCCTCAAGTTGCTCAAGGTAGTCCAAGAGTTGGCCAGACAAGCTCTCTCCTAAGGCAGTCTACCCCAAACTAGGGTTTCATGTTGCATCAAGATCCTTGATTCCAAGTGGTACCAAATGATTAACATTGTCCTAATATGTTCTCAAGATTATCCATGTCAAGTCTCAAGCCATGCAGAGGAATTTTGCTCAGTCAATTGCTCAAAGGTCCAAAAATCGACTGTGCTAGGGCAAAAGTAAACTGTGACCCACATACAGTCAAACTTCAAGATTTTTGGTCAACATTATCATTTTGAAGTATATTTCATCATTTGATCAAGGGTTGATCATGATTCATCAAGGATTGCTCATAATTCATCAAGATTCAAAAGTTGCTAAATTAGGGTTTTGTAGGAGAAGTTAAGTCAACTTTGACCAATCATAACTTTCTCATACTTTATGAGAAATGACCCATCCAAAGCTCATTTTTAAGAGGATGCAGTTCCCTACAATCCATCCTCAACTCCAAAGATCAAAAAATGCACACACAAGAAGTTGTGAATTTGGACATTATAGGTCATTTTGAAAAGTCAACAAAAACACCTTTTTTGTCAAAGCTTCAAACATGATCATGGAATATCAAATTGAGATGAGACCAAAATTTTTGGTTAGAGGACATCTCAAGATTTCTAAAAAGTAAAAGAACACCTCCAAAGGTTCAAAATTGAGGAAGTTATGCATTGTTGAAGTTGGACTTTTTTGCAAAATTGCCAAAAGTCAACTATACCCAGAACTTCAAATTTTGCCAAATAGGCCCATTCTTTTTCACTTGTTTTGAGTTGGCATTATTGCCCACGTGCTCTAGCCTTGGCCTTGTGTCCATATCATATTTTTTTTAATTATTTTTATTTTATTTGAATTAATTTGATTTAAATCAAAATAAATCAAATAAAAATCCAAAAGCATTGATAACAAAGATTTTATGGTGATTTCAGGTTTCATTATACAGCTTGCCATCATCAAACTCGTATCAAGGCATAAGTGTACAAAAATATGGGATTTGGACCAAATTTGGAAGGTTGTTAAAGGAGGATCAAATCAAATATCAAAGCATTGATAGAGGAAGATTTGGACAGCAAAAACAATCCTAATACATTGTGCAATACATAAGGGTGGTGTGCAGACCAAAATAAGGGTTGAAGATCAAGCATAGAGCCAGACCAAATTTGAAAAAACAAGAAAAAGTGTGAGATCGAAACAGGGCTTAGAGGCATCCTCAAGGCTTGGTACGTGTCTCACTCGTTTCCTGGCAACCTCCACAAGCGAAAGCAAGCAAAACCACGTGCAATCAAGCATCCCAACGCACTGTAAGTTAGTCACGAACTCACCCTTTTCTTGATTTAGTATTTTGAAATTTAGGCATTGTTAACTTGTATTGATGGCATATTCTTAATCTACACATCATTTGCAAGCTTTTGGTATTACTCGATTTCATTTATCTGACCTATATCATGGATCACCATTGCTATGGTTTTGTGTTTGTTTTTAGGGCTTTTTGTTTCAGGAAAAATTGACCCTAATAATGGCCATGGTTGCAATTAGGAGGATGAGACGACCTCAACCATGGTCTTAGAATCCATTTCCATGGTCTGTACAAGATTTTGGAATGGACATGGTATGTAGTGACGGACATTTGTCCATGGGTATAGATCCTGGAAATTTTAGCCACGGTCCAAAGACAGGGACGAAGGCGTGTCGCTTCCCCATTCGTCCATTTAAACGTTGGCGCGTTTTTCTGGATTTTGTCCACTAATGCTTGTTTTTATATTTTATTATTTCCTTTTAATATTATATCAAACAGAAGCATGTGATCCAGTGGCAAGTGTGGCATAGATTTCCCTTCAGAACCTGGGTTCGAATCCCATGTCCCCCTATTTTCTCTATAACATTTTCCTTCAGGTAATCACATGCACGCAGGAGCTTGAGGTCTACCATGAGCCTTCACCATCCAGTATGCCAGATGGCCAGGTGGCCAGATCTGGTGGCCAAGCATTAAAGGTGCACCATAGGCCAGTCAACGCACATGCACTGGATCAGAAAAAAGTCCAAC